TGGGAAGCCGGCTTCCCGACCAATCAGGAAGCTGGGAGGCGGGTCATTACTCGCCATCCAGCTTCGTGATTGCACGGGAAGCTGGCTCGATGTTCCCGTACAGAGGAAATTTTCCTCTGACCGGAAGTAATGATCAGATGAGGTGTCAGGAATCTCGTATGTTCCGACCTTCTTCTTTCACATGACCGCACCGCGTATCCTGACTTTATAAGTGATTATTGATCATGGATTACAAAGAACACAGCCTCCTCCTCCTCTCCATAACTCCTCCTCCTCTCCATAACTCCTCCTCCTCTCCATAACTCCTCCTCCTCTCCATAACTCCTTCTCCTCATCTCTATAACTCTTCCTTCCTCCCTATCCTCCTCTTCCCTCCCTCTCCCCGTCGTCATCCCTCTTCTCATCTCTGTAAGTCGTCGTCCCCCACTGGCCACAGGCAGACAGTACAGGAAGTTATCAGCGCACATTTCTGGTAAAATCCTCATTTTCATTTCCCATCATGCATCTTGCTCCGGCCCTCTAGGTCTTCAGATCTCCCATCAGTGATCAGTACCCTCAGCCGGTCATTTCAGGGCCATCAATAGAAGTAGATTGTTCATAGTTATTACACCAGAAATGTGGAATTTGTTGTCGCTATGAAAGTTCTGTCCACATTTCTGATGTGTCTCCTCTCCCAGGTCTCCTGTGTCTCCTGATCACATCTGTGTCATCCGGACCGGTGTATGTACAGAGCGGAGCGGACATCACGGGATGTGGTATGACGTGTTCTGGACCTGATGATGAAGTCACTTGGGAGCTGTACAGACATTGTGGAGGGAAGGAGAAGACATTGCTGGAACGTCACTGTTATTACAGCAAAACTATATCACATGACCCCAGACTTCACCTGGACACAAGGAGCGGCTGCTGGAAGCTGACACCGGCCAGGAAGGATGATTCCTGTGTGTATAAGATCTGGTGTTACTGTGCTCCAAATTATCTACTGTCCTCTACAGACATCCGTGTGCTGGGTAAGAGGCCGTATACTGCACCACACAACATCACACTTCTCTCCGCACTGCATTGTACTCTACAGGAAGACGTGTGTCTGACATTGTGGTTCCCAAAGGGGAATGTAGGGGGGTCTGACACCTTTAGGGGGATGGATGGGATGGTATTCTGCATTGCTGGGATTTGTAGTCTTCTATAGCTGGTGCCAATTCTGCATTGCTGTATACATCATACAGCACGGTGTGACCCCATGTAATGAATATGAACAAGGACGTACATGTTTGAAGCTCAGTCTGGGTTGCTCCATAGATTCAGTACAGTCACAGAATGTTGTCATCCTAGGATAGGAAGTTACTGGCAGGATCACCGCGTGTAATTAAATT